TGTCTTGCTTTAAAATTATTATTCTTGTTCAAGAAAGTTTTTATGAGCATTGCATTACTACAGTCACTGTAATTGGAGACCCGAGTGCTGATATTACACACAGTGCGTGCTCGGAGACTTGAAACACAAAGAATCTTTTTCTTTCACAAACCAGGTCGAGGAGAAATCACACACACCCCTCCAGCTCTGACTCACTCTCACCTGACTGATTGATCGATGCTCTCCTTCTCACACACGCACTGGTTTCTCACACAGACGGAGCTAATCGACCAGGCAGAGCAGTCGAGCTCGGAAGCTGTCAGACTTGAATAGCTGTCATCAGCTGAGCCGGAAATCAGGGGAAAGCTGACGGTGACCCTGTATTTGGGTCCATCCCGGAGCTTTCGGTCATGGTTTTCGAGTCTCTGGTCAGCGACCTGCTCAATAGGTTCATCGGAGACTACGTGGAGAATCTCGACAAGTCTCAGCTCAAGATCGGGATCTGGGGAGGTGGGTTCTGCAGCTAGCTAGGAACTGTCTGTTGTACACGCATCCGAGCCAGACTCCGTTCGAAAATTTCTAAATTTAGTGCTCGCGTCTTTTTGCACAACTTGACAAGTATAATTAAAGTGTCTGAACACATACTGTAAAGCGATAGAGTTTATTGATAATATCGGCATCAATTTAAACTGTAATTTAGTATGTGTTCTGGTGAAATTTTAACTTTCGTTAAAGCTTCGTCTGGTGTTTGGGCTACACCTCCACTTAATATACAGCGAAGTAGAAGGGGAAGCTACTGAGTGCTGTGGTTGAATATTATTTTTTGCTGACTGGGGATGCTTTAAGTTTGTTAAATGTTCGCCGAACTAAAGAGTGACTCACAGCGAGCGAAATAAACACGGACATTTGAGTGTTTTCACGTCCAGCTTTCACAGCGACTCGTTGTTATTGAATTACCGGATATTACAACGAGGTCAGGCGCTGGAGGGGGACTGAACTTTGCAGCCCACATTCGGGTCCAGTAACTGCAAGCAGACGGACCCTCAGCCCGCTGCACATGTCCTGGTGTTTGGGCCTCATCCAGATACCAGATCAGTCAGCGTGAAGTGGCGCTGAAGTTAAAGTGACACACAGAAGGTGCATTCAGTTAATTCAGTTAACCTGCAGCTTATCAGACACACACACACACACACACACACACTGCAGCACGTCTGCGGTTAAGCCATTATCATCAGCATGGTTATTTTTGTCACTGCTACACAGACTGATTAAATGCTTTCACTTAAACATATTAAAATGATGTTACAGCAAAGCCACGGCTGGAAATTTAATTGAATAGTCTTTCATGAGGAAGTTAACTGGGACTCATTAACCTTTTAATTTCTGTTACTTGTGCAATATAACAAGCAAACATCCTCAAGTTAGTTAGCCTTTGTGTACATGTTCAAACCAGTTTCAGTAAAAACTCCAGGACATTACATGTCAGTAATATGTGAACATGGCAGAAGTGTAACATGTGGGCAATGTGCTGCCGCCTGTCTGGCTACATTCCTGCTTCCTAATGTTTCCTCATATCTGTAAACATGCTGCTGGCACACATGAGAAGGAAGCTTCTCTCCACTAATCAAATACTGGCTTAGCTGCTTATGGAAAATCACCTGAAGGATTTCACATCCAGGTGGATCCTGGGCAGGTTTATCGATAGAAGTGCTGTAGCAAAGTCAGGCTGATACACCCGAGTATTTGTATCAGAATGAGTTTAAAGTTTTACCTTAATTTTTGCCAAATGAAGCATTTAAAGAGATACGTGTGAAACATATGATTCTTTTTGTAAACACACAATCAGATATGCTGACTCCGATTCTTCTTCTGATTTCTTACAGGAAATGTTGTCCTTGAGAACCTGCGAGTTAAAGAAAATGCTCTGGTAAGTCCCAAACCTCACACACTGACACGTGCAGCCTGTGGTTTAGTGTGATGATTTTATAGAGTGGTCTGAGCTTTTAATGTAAAGGAGTCTGTTTTTGGCCTTTGTACTCTGCTTGGTTGTCACATGGTGTTGTGATGGTGTGATAACTGTGGCCTCCTCATGGTTACAGAAGATTGCTAGCTTGTTAAATCATATGTGTTGTAAACACAGGCTAACCACATAATCTCTAGGCTGCAAAATTCTCACTTCCTGTTTGCTCTGAGATGCTTTAGTAGTTTGGAGTGTGTTTTGAGTGAGAATACTCAAAATGGCAGAGTTTAAGCCTGGACACCTGGCTCGTCATCCCTTTCCACAGGCCATGGTGCTAATAGTGTGTGCATTTGTGTTTCAGAGTGAGTTTGATGTTCCCTTCAAAGTGAAGGCCGGACAGATCGGTGAGTTCTGATGGTTGTTATTCACCTCATGCCATCTTTTTTGAAGCTCTTTGTGTGCTTTATTGCTTCACATCACAAGTCAGCCATCCCCATAGACCAAATATGTATCTACACACGCACACACACACCCTCAAAACCTCGACGTTAGCATTTTGACACAGCAATGCTTCTTTTTTTTTGGTAGTAGCCTCAAGTGATTATATGTAAACATAATGGTAGGGTGGTAAATTCTTAGTTAATGCTACCAAACCTGTTTAGCAAGCTGCTGAAGGTTTAAGAGAGCAATTAAAAATCCAAGCTTACTCAGCTCCTTCCTGTTTAATCTGATGATGATCAGCTGGAAGTGATATCCCTACGTGCACGAGTGCAGATAGCCAGCGTAAACACAAACACACCAAAAGCTGGACTAATCACCAGCATCTAGAAGACTTCTGTAAGGGTTGGGATGTTGAACATTTTCCTTTTGATAATCAGAAAGAATCTGTGTTTGTGTTTCAGGGAAGCTGACTTTGAAAATCCCCTGGAAGAACCTCTACAATGATGCTGTGGTTGCCACATTGGAGGGTCTTTACCTTCTGGTTGTCCCTGGAGCCAGTAAGTTATGCTGAATTTGCAGATAAGCATCTTTCCAGGCAAGTGTCACATGAAGTAGAAGAAGAAACAGGAAGTTGAACTCAGAAGGTGGACGATACATTTTCTTTTGAGCTGGTAATCAGTTGTATACAGCTTATGATAACTCCTACACACACACACACACACACACAC